TCAAAAATAACACCAAGATTTTTAACATTAGAGCAGGAGGACAGATTAATGTCATCTAAGGAGGGAGAAAGACTGAAACATTCATTCCTAAGGTGTTCAGGTCCAAAAACTAAAACCTCAGTCTTGTCTGTTCAACAGGAGAAAATTAAGGGTCATCCAGGATTTTATGTCTTTAAGACATGCTTGTAGTCTAAGTAGTTGATTGGATTCATTGGGTTTAATGGACAAATATAATTGTGTGTCATCAGCATAACAATGAAAATGTATTCCATGCAGTTTAATAATTTTACATAATGGAAGCATATATAAAGTAAAGAGTATTGGCCCAAGCACTGAGCCCTGAGGAACTCCATGACTAACTTTGGTGTATGAAGATTTATTATTTACATTTATAAACTGGACTCTATCAGATAGATATGATTTAAACCATTTTAGAGCTGTTCCTGTAATCCCAATATCATATTCAAGCCTCTGTAGTAAAATATTGTGATCAACTGTATCAAATGCAGCACTGAGGTCTAACAGGACCAGTATAGACACAAGTCCATTATCTGAGGCCACGAGAATATCATTAGTGACTTTTACTAGTGCTGTTTCTGTGCTATGATGAGCTCTAAACCCTGACTGAAACTCTTCAAACAGATTATTTCTTTGTAGATGTTCACGCAACTGACCTGCAACTATTTTCTCTAGAATTTTTGAGATGAAAGTTAGATTAGATATAGATCTATAGTTGGCCAGAATTTCTGAATCAAGATCAGACTTCTTAAGTAAAGGTTTAATTACAGCAACCTTAAAGCTCTGTGGTACATAACCATCCATTAAAGACAAATTAAGTTGATGCAAAATGTGGACATTAATTAGGGGAAATACCTCTTTAAACAGTCTGGTTGGGATGGGATCTAGCAGGCATGTGGATGGTTTGGATGAGGTTATTATTTTTGACATTCAGAGCTCAACAGGTCAAAAACTGTCCAAACATAAATCAGACTCTAGTGACATTTTTAAAGTTTCCTCATTTGACAGAGGACTAGAGATAGTAGAAGGAAGGATGGTTTGAATTTTCTCTCTAATTGAAATAATTTTATTTATAAAGAATCTCATGAAGTCATCACTACTTATAGTTGTAGGGATACATGGTTCAACAGAAATGGGACTTTTAATTAGTCTAGCAATAGTACTAAACAGAAACCTAGGGTTATTTTTATTCTCCTCTATTAAAGATGAGTAATATAAAGTTCTAGCTTTACGGAGAGCTTTTTTATATGTTAGCAGACTATCTTTCCAAGTTAAATAAAATTCTTCAACATTAGTAGAGCGCCATTTTCTCTCCTGGTTTCTAGATGCTGCTTTAAAGTACGTAACTCAGAATTAACCAAGGAGCCAGTTTCCTCTGATTGATTACTTTCTTTTTCATTGAAGCAATTTTATCAAGTGAAGTTTGCATTGAAGTTGTAAGATGATCAACTAGATGATCTAAGTCTCTGTTCTCTGATGCATTACTCTGCAAGACAGAGGAAACATTGATGGAAGAGATTGTTTCAATTTGGTTACAGCATTTTCTGATAAGCACCTGCTGAGATGAACTTTACTCTCAGTGACTGTGTAGTCATTTAATGTAAACTCAAAGTTATTAAAAAATGGTCGGACAGAACAGGATTTTGAGGAACTATTACCAAGTCCTTAATCTCTATACCATAGGTCAGAACTAAATCAAGAGTGTGATGATAAGAATGAGTAGATGTGCGGACGTTTTGGATAAAACCAAATGACTCTATTAAATTATTAAAGGCTATGCTTAAACTATCACTCTCAACATCTACATGAATATTGAAATCACCCATTATGATGATTTTATCAGTATTTAATAATAAGTCAGTTAATAATTCTTAGAATTCAGATAAAAACAGAGAGTAAGCGCCTGGTGGACGATATATAACAACTAGTAAAAGTGGCTTTTCTGATTTCCATTTTGGATGAGAAAGACTGAGGGACAGCGATTCAAAAGAATCATAACTAATAACTGGTTTGGCATTAATCAATAATCCTGACTGAAAAATAGAAGCTACTCCTCCACCTCGGCCAGTTGTTCTAGGAACATGAACATTTCAATAATTAACAGGAGTGGATTCATTTATACCAACAAAATCCTCCTGTTGTAGCCAAGTTTCTGTCAGACACAATAAATCAATATGATGATCAGTTATCAGTTCATTAACTAACAGGGATTTAGAGGAAAGATATCTAATATCCTGATGCATGCTCAATAATCCAGGTAGAAAAATCTAAAAAAGTTAAATCTGGTCCTCTGGACATTCAAAAAAACAAAACAAAGCAAAACAACAACAATGTAGAAACGTTTCGTCTCTCATCCGAGAGACTTCGTCAGTCTGAGGTGCTGTATTCAGCTCAGTCTCTTAAATAGCACCTTCTCAGAGTGGATCAACCAGTTTTGCTGCTGACAACCAGAACCAGCTGATCACATGCTCAAGGACCATCAGCCTAACAATGGATCATTAGCACCTGATGGCTGTTTACTATTCACAGAGGGCTGAGTGATACTAGCAATCACAGCATTGTAAGAGGGGGACAGTTGAACATGTAGACTGGTTCATCCCAAAGATCCAGTCCCCCGGCACAAACAGAGTAATGTTGTGTATGTTGTTCAGTGTCAGGAGGGTGATCAGTCTTACATCGGGGAAACAAAACAGCCACTGGCCAAAAGGATGGACCAGCACAGAAGATCAACATCATCAGACCAGGACTCTGCGGTCTACACTCATCTCCAGGCCAGCGGTCACTCTTTCAAGGATGAAGATGTTCACATCCTGGACAGAGAGGAACGATGGTTTGAGAGAGGAGTAAAGGAGGCCATCTTTGTGAAAAGAAACCGTCCATCATTAAACAGGGGTGGAGCCTCCGGGTTCAACTGTCCCCCTCTTACAATGCTGTGATTGCTAGTATCACTCAGCCCTCTGTGAATAGTACACAGCCATCAGTGTGCTAATGATCCATTGTTAGGCTGATGGTCCTTCTTGAGCATGTGATCAGCTGGTTCTGGTTGTCAGCAGCAAACTGGTTGATCCACTCCAAGAAGGTGCTATTTAAGAGACTGAGCTGAATACAGCACCTCAGACTGAGGAAGTCTCTCGGATGAGAGACTAAACGTTTCTACATTTTTTTGTTGTTTTGCTTTGTTTTGTTTTTTTGAATGTCCAGAGGACCAGATTTAACTTTTCTAAAGAGATCTAATGTTCAATAATCCACATTTAATGATTTTATGATTTTGCTCTGGTAAAGTAACTGTGTTTATTTTAATCAGATTTTTATGGTTTAAATTTTTAGATCTGATTTTTGGTTTATTTAATTTGAGCCGTGGGCGAGTTGACACTGTTTCAATGGGGGTGTGTGTGGGTAACAGAGGAGAAGCAGCAGAGAGGTTTGGAGGACTACAACTCTGCTTCCTGGACTGGTTTCTAGACTGGACCCTGGACTGGACCCTGGGTTGTCAATAATTTGGTGGATAAACAAAATCAGCCATATTTCTAGAAAGAAGAGCGGCTCCGTCCAAAGTGGGATGGATGCAATCTCTCCGCATCAGACCAGGTTTTCCCCAGAAAGAACTCCAGTTATCTATGTAGCCCACATCCATTGTCAGAACACCACCTGGACACCCAGCGGTTAAACGACGACATACTTTTATAGGGGCATCACTCTCCTCAGCCTCCCTGGTAAGGTCTATTCAGGGGTACTGGAGAAGCAAGTCCAATCACTGGTCGAACCTCAGATCCAGGAGAAACGATGTGGGTTCTGTCCTGGCCGTGGAACACTGGACCAGCTCTTTACCCTCACTAGGGTCCTCGAGGGGTCATGAGAGTTTGCCCATCCTGTCTACATGTGTTTTGTGGACTTGGAGAAGGCATTCGACCGTGTTCCTCGGGGTACACTGTGGGGGGGTGCTCCGTAAGTATGGGATTGGGGGGCCATTGTTACGGGCTGTTCAGTACCTATAATAGCGGTGCGAGAGTTTGGTTCGAATTGCTGGCAGTAAGTCAGACCCCTTCAGGGAGGGAGTTGGACTCTGCCAGGGCTGTCCGTTGTCACCGATTCTGTTCATAACTTCTATGGACAAAATTTCTCGGTGCAGCCAGCTGGCAGAGGGTTTCTGATTCGGAGGCCTCAGGATTCTATCTCTGCTCTTTGCAGATGATGTGGTCCTGTTGGCGTCATCGTGCCGTGATCTTCAGCTCTCACTGGAGCGGTTTGCAGTCGAGTGTGAAGCGGCTGGGATGAGAATCAGCACCTCCAAATCTGAGGCCAAGGTCCTCAACCGGAAAAGGGTGGATTGCTCTCTTCAGGTCGAGGGTGAGGTTCTGCCTCAAGTGGAGGAGTTCAAGTATCTCGGGTTTTGTTCACGAGTGAGGGACAAATGGAGCGTGAGATTGACAGATGGATTGGTGCAACATCTGCAGTATTGCGGACTGTGTACCGGCCGTTGTGGTGAGGACAGAGCTGAGCTGTGAGGCAAAGCTCTGTTTACCGGTCAGTCTACGTTCCTACCCTCACCTATGGTCACGAGCTCTGGGTAGTGACCGAAAGAATGAGATTGCGGTTGGCAATGTTTCCTCCGCAGGGTAGCTGGACTCTCCCTTAGACAAAGGGTGAGAATTTCAGTTATCAGGAGAGACACGTAGTAGAACCGCTGCGCCTCCATATCGAGAGGAGCCAGTTGACTTGGTTCGGGCATCTGGTAAGGATGCCCCCTGGACGTCTTCCTATGGAGATGCTTCGGGCATGTCCGACTGGGAGGAGACCCCGGGGAAGACCCAGGACAAGCTGGAGAGACCATGTCTCTTGGTTGGCCTGGGAACACCTTGGAATCCTACCAGAAGAGATGGAAGAGGTGGCTGTGGAAAGAGATGTCTGGGCCTCCCTGCTCAAGCTGCTGTTCCCGCGACCCAACTTCAGAATAAGCAGAAGATAATTGATGGATGGATTACCCGTCCATCTCAGCAAGGAGCTGGTTGATGGTTTGTCTGGAGTAAGGGTGCATCGGAGACTCTATTCTTTTCCCACCAACACTGTCCAACTCATCGATGAAGATCACACAGGGAGCATTGGCTTTAGCCTCTCCTAGAAAAGACAAGAGTACCGCATATTAAATAGCTGTCAACAAATTATTATAAAGCAGTCTACATCAATGGCCTGGACATGTACACAGGGTCCCAGTTACATCCAACAATAAAATGTAAAAGATAAACAGTAATAAGATCTAAGATATGAACTAAGAAAAACACCAATTAAAAATACACTAAGCACTAAAAGCATAAAAACAATAAAGTCCAAACACAATAAATAAATAAGACAATAAATCAAGTCCTTTTATAACATTTGAACTTGATTTGTGACCTTGAAGAGATGAAGCGTATGTGACATTGCATCTAGTGTTCATAAATATGTGTACAAAATTTTGTAAGAAAATATCTTGAGTGGATCAGAAGTAGGGCTTTAACAGACTACTCGAGTAATCTACACATCGATTCCTAGGACACCTATCGAGGTTTTTAATTTCACGTCGAGTATTCGTGGTGACGTCATTACGTCGTCGTTAAGTCATTGCGTCACGTAATCCACACCAGGTGCAGGTTACAAAATGGATTCCTCCAAGCAGACGGATGGAGCGGAGCAGGCCCAGTCTTGACAAACTGGTCGAAATGCATCAATAGTCTGAAAATATTTCACTAAAGATGAATCTTCTGGTTCAACTACCATAAAGAAACAGAAAATGAATAAACTTCCTGACTGTTTGGAGCTTGTTGCGAACCGGTTTTGCACCATATTTTGTGACCACCGTATATTGTGACCGTAAGGGGCGGTGTTGCATGCACTGTTGCAGGTCACAGAATATGGTACAACACTGGGTCCAATGACCGAACCAGAACCAGCTTCCTCTGACCTTGTTTAACAAACTAAAAGCAAAAAATATTAATCTCTAAACCTATAAAAATCTATAAACATATTAATCTCTAAACCTATAAAAATCTATAAACATATTAATCTCTAAAACTAAACTTAATACGCACCACAGCTGGCGGTGGTGTGGGGTGGTGGAACCCCCCACTGTTTTTAGTTTCGTTTTTGAATTGCTGCACGTTTCTTCATGTTTGTAGCTTAATAATAATAACTAATAGTTTGTTTTTTCCTGTGACTTATTTGCAGTATGATAAATAGTAGGAGCATAATATACTCTCCCAATGTTTTGTTGGTTTTTTTTTTTTTGGTAAATAATGACCTTTTTTGCGGTTTTATTAATTTATTTATTTTTGTATCTTTAGATCTGATGATGTCATCAAGTACTCGAGTTCTACTCGAGTTTTATTATGTTAATGTCGAGTTTAAAAATTATGTAGTCGTTCAACCCCTAATCAGAAGTTATAGTCCAGACATGAGAAAGTTTATGAACGGACGGAGACTACTGTATTTTCTGCCGTACACGTTGCTCCGCCCTATAAGCAGCATCAGTCCATATTTGTCTAATAAAGTGGCAAAATCCATAAATTTCGCTTCGCCATATAAATCCCATCTATTATGAGTCATCGCTGACGTGTCGCTTTTGTTATGCGTCACCGCTGACCACCCGGAAATGTGGACCGGTGTTGTGCCAAAAACCAAAGGGCTGCCAAATGGCAGCTGCGGGAGAGTGCACGCGAGGACTTTAACAATAATTTAACAAGATTAATACTTAAAAACAATTATTTGTTTGCTCGAAATTATAGTAAATGTGTGTCTCAATCTAACATTTCTTAATAAGCGCACTTTGACGGTCAAATCAGCTGTATTTCAAAACCTGATAGGCAGACGTAAGCGAGTACACGCAACGAGTTCCTGTGGAAATTTAACAACATAAACGCCTTAAAACAATTATTTGTTTGCTCGAAATTATAGCAAAGGTGTGTCTCAAGTTTAACATTTGCTTAATAAATGCACTTTAGTGGTCAAATCAGCTGCATTTTGCCAGGGTGGTGCAGCTGTTTTGACGGTTCCAAGCAGCGAGCAGAATGAAAGTGGAGAGGTTATGGCAGGCCGATTGTGTCATTAATAACTGATGAAGATTCTCAGTCATCCAGGATATGGTAAATTCAAAAAAGTGTAAGAAAAAAGTATTTAGTATAATAAATAAAGTCCAGTTGTTTTTGTCTTGAACTTTTGAATTTGTCATTATAGCCACGTTTAGCTATTACATGATACAACAGCATGCCATATACATATTACTACTCTGCTCCCATCAAGTGGCTGAAAGTGGTACTGCTCCATTTTTTTTCCAGTCAGAATGAATGAAAACAGTCATATCTCAGCCACTGGTTTATAAATATGGGGAAAAAAATCCATAAATATGTCGCTTTGCCCTATAAGTCACGGGACATGTAAATTATGCAATAAACTGCGACTTATAGGCCGAACAAAACGTTATATATATATAGACCCTTTCCAAAACATTAGAATATCATGGAAAAGTTGTTTAACTTTCAAAAAGTTAATTTTAATAGATGATAGATTCAGAGCCCACAATTTAAACTATTTCAAGTATTTGTTTATTTTTACATAATTTGGGCTTCTAGCACATGAAACTCACGAAACAGGATTTAAAAAAATTAGAACACTGTGGAGAAATCAGCCCAAATGTTGCAGGACATGAATGTTTTAAACCAAGTGTGACACACTAATCATCTACTAAACTCAAAGCACCTGCACAGGTTTCCCCAGGTGTCATTAAATTGCTTCAGTTTGGTTCAATTGTCTCCTCCCTGGGCTGCCACCTTACCGTGGTGGAGGGGTTTGAGTGTCCCAATGATCCTAGGAGCTATGCTGTTAGGGGCTTTACGCCACTAGTAGGGTCACCCAAGGCAGACAGGTCCTAGGTGAGGAACCAGACAAAGTGCAGCCCAAACACCCCTATGATGAATAAAAGAATTGGACTTAATGTTCCCTTTCCCGGACGTGGGTCACCGGGGCCCCACTCTGGAGCCAGGCCTGGAGGAGGGGCACGCGGGCGAGAGCCTGGTGGCAGGGCTTTTACCCATGGAACTCGGCCAGGCACAGCCTGAAGAGGAGACGTGGGTCCCCCTTCCCATGGACTCACCACCTGTGGGAGGGGCCAAAGGGGTCGGGTACAATGTAGGATGGGTGGGATTGCCCCCCATCTTGGTGCCTGTGTGTTGGGGTTCACCCCGGTGAATGAGAGGGTAGCCTCCCTCCGCCTACGTGTGGGGGGACGGGTTCTGACTGTCGTTTGTGCTTATGCACCAAACGGCAGTTCAGATTATCCGCCCTTTCTGGAGTCCTTGGAGGGGGTACTGGAAAGTGCACCTCCTGGGGACTCCCTTGTTCTGCTGGGGGATTGATTCAATGCTCACGTGGGCAATGACAGTGAGACCTGGAGGGGTGTGGTTGGGACGAACGGCCCCCCTGATCTGAACCCGAGTGGCGTTCTGTTGTTGAACTTCTGTGCTCGTCATGGATTGTCCATAACGAACACCATCTTCAAGCATAAGGGTGTCCATATGTGCTCTTGGCACCAGGACATCCTAGGCCGCAGTTCGATGATCAACTTTGTCATTGTCTCATCTGATCTACGGCCACACGTCTTGGACACTTGGGTGAAGAGGGGGGCGGAGCTGTCCACTGATCACTACCTGGTGGTGAGTTTGGTCCGATGGTGGGGAGGATGCCGGTCAGACCTGGCAAACCCAAACGTATTGTGAGGGTTTGCTGGGAATGTCTGGCAGAGTCTCCTGTGAGACAGAGTTTTAACTCCCACCTCCGGGAGAACTTTGAGCATGTTCCGTGGGAGGTGGGGGACATTGAGTCCGAGTGGGCCATGTTCCGTGCCTCTATTGTCGAGGTCACTTACCGGAGCTGCGGCCACAAGGTTGTCGATGCCTGTCGCAGCAGCAACCCTCGAACCCGATGGTGGACAATGTCGGTGAGGGATGCAGTCAGGCTGAAGAAGGAGTCCTATCGGGCCTTTTTGGCCTGTGGGATCCCTGAAGCAGCTGATGGGTACCGGCAGTCCAAGCGACGTGGTCGCTGAGGCAAAAACTCGGGCATGGGAGGAGTTGGGAGAGGCCATGGAGAATGACTTCCACACGGCTTCGAGGCGATTCTGGTCCACCATCCGGTGTCTCGGGGGGGAAAGCGGTACACCGCCAACACTGTTTATAGTGGGGGTGGTGTGCTCCTGACTTCCACTCGGAATGACGTGGGTCGGTGGACAGAATACTTTGAAGACCTCCTCAATCCCACTAGCATGTCTTCCACTGAGGAAGCGGAACCTGGGGACTCTGGGTCGGGCCCTCCAATCTCTGGTGCTGAGGTCACCGAGGTGCTTAAAAAGCTCCTTGGTTGCAGGGCCCCAGGGGTGGATGAGATTCGCCCGAAGTTCCTTAAGGCTCTGGATGTTGTAGGGTTGTGTTGGCTTACGCGACTCTGCAATATTGCGTGGACAACGGGAGAAGTTCCCCTGGATTGGCAGACCAGGTTGGTGGTTCCCCTATTTAAAAAGGGGGACCGTAGAGTGTGTTCCAACTACAGGGGAATCACGCTCTTAAGCTTCTCTGGTAAGGTCTAGTCAGAGGTTCTGGAGAGGAGGGTCCGTCGGATAGTCGAACCTCGGAATCAGGAGGAGCAGTGTAGTTTTTGTTTTGGTCGTGGAACACTGGACCAGCTCTACACTCTCAGCAGGGTCCTGGAGGGTGCGTGGGAGTTTGCCCAACCGGTCCACATGTTCTTTGTGGACTTGGAGAAGGCATTCGACCGCGTCCCTCGGGGAACCTTGTGGGAGGTACTCTGGGAGTATGGGGTACCGGGGGCCTTTTGATACAGGCTGTTAGGTCCCTGTATGACCGGTGTCAGGGCCTGGTTCGCATTGCCGGCAGTAAGTCGGGCTTGTTCCCAGTGAGAGTTGGACTCCGCCAAGGTTGCCCTTTGTCACCGATTCTGTTCATAACTTTTATGGACAGAATTTTTAGGTGCAGCCAAGGTGTTGAGGGGATCCATTTTAGTGGCCTTAGGATTGCTTCTCTGCTTTTTGCAGATGATGTGGTCCTGTTGGCTTTATCAGATTGTGATCTACA